CATGAGATCTAAGTCCAACCTACCTTGAATTCCCTTGACTCTTATCTACTTATCTACTGCTTTGACTTCAGATTCTTAAGAGACCTTAACCTTGCAATAAACCTACATATTCATTTGAACTACTGGACTCCTGGTTCCCTGTCCTTGACAGGAGGATACATTTGATTTGGTACCTCAGGGCTGATGTTTACCTCCATCTTGTGTCAATTAGCTGGTTTACACCAATTCTCTCCTCAGTTTTATGTTAGATGCCAATGAATTGTTTTATAAATTGTACCATAAAGTATGGCATGTATGCATTCATCAAAGTTTGCGATCAAATTCATATTGTTTGCTTATGCAAGAAGGGATTATAAAGCAATGGTTTCCCTGAATGAATCCTAATTTGGCTATTAATCCCAAAATATTATTGTACAACTCCTATCTTAACTGGTGATGGAAGTCTCTTCTTAATTGGAGATAGAGTCTGTCAATATACTTTCTTTTAATATTAGGAATGTTAGGGTGTTAGGAATATAATTCTAACGGTTGGGTTGGCAATATATAAGCCATGTAACAATGCTATACCTGTTTCTTTAAACATACAGTAAAATGTGATTGGTTGCTGTTTTTCCTCAATCGGCCATAAGAGGGAGTCAGAATGACTGTTAGCTCTCTCTCTGTTCATTAGATGCTGGGCTGATCTGATCTGATCTGAGTGCCATGAGCTATTGTAAGTTTTGCAACTGTTAGCAAACTTTGAATACTGAACTGATTATATGACACTGGACTATGTTATTTGGATTATCCCTTAACTGAAATACATTGATGACTGACTGAATTATCCGTGTATGACTTGGACTGTTTGATGGACTCAGATACCTCTATTTCCACGAAAGTAAAAGCCTATTTAAACTGCAGTGTCTCTGTATGCTGGTTTGTGTGTTCTCTAACACAACTCTCACAACGCTTCGCTGAACATACTCGCTCTCCCAACGGGGAACTTACCTAACACTTCTCATAGCTGGAGCTTTCAAAACCACACATAGAGTATGCTAAAAATGTCCATTGGTACATTAATCACATTAAACAAGAAAAGGCTCCCTTTCTGACCATGAAAACAACTTAGCAGGCTGGGTGTTGAATTCATCCTCCAATCTTTGGCACCAATTGTATTATTTGAGTCCTACCCCTGCAGGAATGTTTGCCTGTGAGAGGGAAAGGGGGACTGAGTCAAAGTTAATTTCCATCTCTTGATTATGTCAACAGGAGAGCCATATGGAGCCAAGATACAGTGATATTGCCATCCACCCCAGTCACCAATGAAGAGAAAGAACCATTCCTAACTATGCACACATTCGATAGGATGTCCTCAGTTTCTTTCCTTGAGAATAAAGGAAGACAACAACATGGGGAACCCTTTAGGAGAAAAGAAGAAAATGGCAAATTGGGTTTGCCTGAGACGATGCTAGAGCAGATGAAGGAATGATTAAATAATCATAGAATTATAGAGTTGGAAACTTGGAAGGGACCTTGGAGGTCTTCTAGTTCAAATATTATAAGTGATATAAACCAAGAGGAGATGGAAACAGAATGTGATGATAGGCAGAGATGTGTTGTCAGGTATATCTCTTGTTGATCTGGAATGTGTAATTATGGAAATGTAATATGACATCACCACATGTTGACATGTCCCTCCCTTCCCCATGGATGAATCTTAATATAAGGTAGAAAAGTATCACACCACAAGTTTCCATAATAGCACATTATCAGGAAGAGAGATGGAATTCAACAAAAGTTATCATCCATTGTGACAGTTTTCTAGTTTTGGGCTAATAAAAACTGAGAAGTTGTTTTTGATTGCTGCTGTTCCTTTTGTAGGATTGTTTTCCCTGCTTGCAAAATGTGTGGATGGAGTCTATGGCTAAACAGCCATTGTGGATATACTGTAAGTTTCCAAAACAAAAGTTTGGATGATTGTGAATTAATCTATATTCCCAGCTTTTCTCTTCCTCTTCTTCTGAGCTTTTCACAGAGCATGACTTTTCATTCATCGAGTTGCAGTTCACTTTTTATGGTCAAGCAGATTATTGTGTTCTGAATTCAGGCCCAGTGACAGAACTGTGTTTTAAACAAAGGGAAGTAGAGCATTAAGCCACATTTACAAGGGCAAGAGGGGAGTACACAGCTCATTTTCTGAACCCATAAGCCACAATTTGGGGAAAAAACTAATGACTGTAGTGGATCCTTTTAATTAACGATGGAAAGCTGAGTCTTAATCTGACCTAGATGTTTAGACTAAAGACATAACCAAACTGTATACGCGAAGCTACACATCTTTGAAACATGGAATTTAAGACTAAGAATGACTCACTACTGTGTTCTAGCTATGCCATAAAATTAAAGCAATTATTTGACTTCTCTGTGTAATTCATTTCTACTAAACCTTCAGTTTAGTAGAACTCAGCAGTCTGTTGGGGTTTTGTTTGTTTGTTTATTTCATTTCTAATCTTGTAATCTTTTTTCTAAGAATTTTCTACTTTATTAGGAATTGTTTATAGTTGAAGAGAACCAGAAACATGGAGAACCTTTTTCTTGTCATTTAAATGTATTTTCTCTGGTTGTTTTCTTTCTGAAAAGTTCAAGAAGTCTTATAGATACATTTGGTGTTCTATTGAAGTTTAAGGAGTTTGGGGATTAGGGCATTTTTTTTATTGAGGCACTTTAGCCCATCAGTCAACAACATTGAAAAGCTTTCCCCATTGAGAGAAATGAACAAGGCAATAGTCCTACAAAACCCCATTTCCTTGCAAACAGATAATTAAAAGCAGGAATGGATAATAGTTTGTGCCATGCTTCATTCTCATGAAGTATTTGAAAAATTTAATCAATGAGAATTGCCTGCCTCGAGCATTGCACAAAACAAAGAGATCGTTTAAAAAAGGATACAATATCATTGCAGATGTTCATTAAGATATATCCAATAGTAGAAATCAGTGGTGGGTTATGACCAATACACCCCGGTATGGGTGTACTGGAGCCTGCTGGAAGCACCAGGTACCATTCTGGTACGGTGCTCCGGAGGCACCACCTGCCCACTCTCCTTACTGCTATTTGAGATGATTGGGGCATTTGTGCACGTGCACAGAGCGTACGGCATCTGTGCGATGCTTCGCAAAGCAGCTGGATTGTTGCGGGCAGTGGGTATGCATTCATGCATGCATGTGGTGGCCGCCTGGCCCCATTGCACCGTACTGGTTGCAATGGGATATGGAATCCACGACTGGTAGAAATGATTGCTACAATTGAAAGTGAAATCCAAAATGGTAGGAGAAACTGGGATCAAACTACCCTGGTAAGCTGGCAAGTGTTTGTAACCGTCTAAAAAGATCACATAATTTTAAAAAAGATTGGCTGGGATACTTTTTTGAATTGAAAATATATTCAGATAGACTAATATACTAGAAAGATAATTTTTTGCAAAGAAGATTTATGGTAACCTGCATCTGCTCATTTAAGAGACAGGAGATGTCCAGGCCTATGTCAGATGGCTTTGGTGAAACAAGGCCCTTTTCTCTGATGGCCCTCATTGTGCAAAGAAGCAACTTGCTTTAGTGTGGTACCTCACAAACTCCTCATATGGATGTTTTGATGCTTGCAGAAGCTAGAAGTGCCTGTGCATAGAACAGCTATTATGATGCATCTTATGTTGCATTAGGAAGCATCAGAAGAGGTTTCCATGCAGGCACAGATCCTTTTTTCTGACTATTGCAAGTGTCAGAGGAAGCAAATGAAGATGGTGAAACCAAGTGTTGTGCAGTTGCTTCATTGTACTCTTAAAGTGTATTGTATAATAATAATGATAATAATAATAATAATGGACAAAATACTGGCGCATAATACTCCAGACATGACACTGGTTGAAAAAAATAAGGTCACAATCATAGACATCGCAATACCAGGTGATAGCAGGGTCGCCAAGAAGGAACATGAAAAAATCGCAAAATATGAGGACTTAAAAATCAAAATTCAACGACTATGGAACAAACCAGCAGTGGTAATTCCAGTGGTAATTGGCACACTGGGTGCTATTCCAAAAGCACTGGAATTAGATTTGAAACAGTTAAAAATTGACAAAATCACCATCAGTCAAATGCAAAAAGCCGCACTGCTTGGATCTGCACGCAAATTATGAAAATACGTTACAACGTCCTAGGCCCCTGGGTGGGGCCCGACTAGTAACCAATGCCAAATCCGGCGAAACAACTGGCCGCTGTGATACAATTGTATAATAATAATAATCNAACCAAACCCTTGTCCTGCTGGATACTGAGGGATTAGGTGACGTGGAAAAGGTTAGTTTGTATTTTTTTAATTTCTTTGTATAAAATAACACACCAATGGGATATCTATTGGGCACCAAGTATAAGTAGCCCTTGACTGACAACTATTCATTTAGCAACTGTCTGAAGTTACAGTGGCACTGGAAAAAGTGTCTTATGACTGATCCTCACACTTACGGCCATCACAGCATCACCTTGGTCATGCGATCAAAGTTTAGGTGCTTGGTAACTGGCATGTATGTACGACAGTTATAGAATCCCAGGGTCATTTACAACCTTCCTTACTCTGATGAGCAAAGTAAATGTGGGAAACCGGGCTTGCTTCTATGAAATCCCCGATTGTCATTTGAAACTCCTACAATGCATAAATATACTTAGCAGAAGTCAGAAACTGATCATAATTAATTCTTGTCCCTCTTTAGGGCAGTACTCAAAATGATACCTGGATCTTCGCTTTGGCTGTGTTGCTGAGCAGCACCCTCGTCTACAACAGTATTGGGACCATTGATCAGACTGTTCTGGAAAAGCTTCAGTATCCTTCTCACGAATAGCTCTGTTATGCTCTGCAGTCAGATTTGGAATGAAACAGCTTTCAGGATCACCGTTGCCTACATCATTTCTAAACTCATCCCCAGCATGTGTTTCCCTAGCAATGCTAAGCTTGAGTAGATTGAATGTTGCCTGGCTTACATTTCAGGGCATAGTGGAGACACAGAAAATAGGTTGCTTGATCAACCATGTCTGGTTTTGTGGTGGAGGCAGAGCTGGGCTTTTCACAGACATCTTTTGATGCCAGCCCTATCAGGATAACCAGAGTAAGAAACAGACATTATGTAGACTTAAAGCTACTTTTATTAAAATAGCTCTAGTTACAGAATCTTGGAAGTCTGAATGTGTTTCCCTTCCTCCTTTTATCTTCAGAAGTATTGAGGGCATTTTTGCAACATACTTTCTTGTTCATTCATTGTACAAATATATTTTTTGATTTCTAAACTGGGCCAACAGTTTTGTGATGGAGCTGTCTGCACATATCAAGGGAAAGGCTTCCTCCAGACCTGAAGATACAGATGATTCTTCTGAATTTGTTCGCTTCTTCCCAAACTTTGTCTGGACGGTGCGAGATTTCTCACTGCGGCTGGAACATAATGATCAACCCATCACAGAGGATGATTATCTCGAAAATGCGCTGGAATTAAAAAAAGGTACCAGAGACAAATGCAATGTGGAGCTCCATATGATCATTTAAATAAGGAATAGGAGCCATTGGGCCTAAATTTTCCTTCTTTAGGGAGGCACAGAATAATCCTCAATTGTCAAGAGGTAAATGAGTGACTTGAAACAGTTTGGTTTAGAGATGAAGGCAACAGACTAGAAACCAGGAGATTGAAGGTTCTACTAATGCATTAGGCATGAAACTCATCTGGGTGACTTTGGGCCAGTCACCAGGAGACTGTAACAAGCAATAGACATTCTCTGTTGGAATGACTGAGATGCTGCTATTCTACCTGACTACAGAACATTATAAAATAAGACCCAGCAGACATGATACAATAAAAATGATTGAATTTTGAAACAGGCTAAATAGACAATACAAACACCCAGTAGCAATCTCGTTTTCCATAGGAAATCCATTCAGTTAATAGTCATGACACTGAAATAAAAACTGATTTGTCTTCCTCAGTTGTTCCCTAACCACATTACGTGTTGGAAAACAAGCAATGGTATTACCCTGTTTCCCTGAAAATAAGACCTCCCTGGATAATAAGCCCAATCAGGCATGGAAACACAGTATTTCTTCAATGCTCCGTTTTCTTGGTTAATTAGAATCAGGATTGCAATTGCAGAAAGCACCTCTTGGAAATTCAGATTGCAATATGCACATATTTTGTTGGCAGCCTCTATACTTTAAAAGATTAAATCACCCTTAATTTTTACACTGCCTTTCCACAAAATCCTTCTGGGTAAACTACAGCACAGTGTGTTAAACAGATTTGGAAACAAGAAAAACTCACTTTATAGATTTGTGGCCTCTGTAAGAGAGGAAGGGTGGATAAAGTAAGTGGAGATACCTGCAGTTGATAAGGATACCAATTAAATGGTACTAAATAATAGGTATGGGAACATTCCCCAGTGAAGTGCTCACTGGCAGATGCTATTCAGATTTACCTGCAAGATGGACATGTTGCTTTCTAGAGGACAGTGAGAAGGAGCAGGCGTTCAATCTGCCCCGGAAATGCATCCGACTGTTCTTCCCCACCCGGAAGTGCTTCGTCTTTTATTGCCCTACTAGAAGTAGGGACTTACCCTATCTGGAAACGATGATGGATAATCAGCTGGAGCCTGAATTTGTGGAACAAGCAAATAAGTTCTGCAATTACATCTATTGGACATCTCGAGAAAAGACTCTTCCAGGCGGACACATTGTCACAGGCAATTGTGAGTGGTTCTAGCTATATTATTATTATTATTATTATTATTATTATT